CAAAAATTAGTTCCGCTATTAATCTTCAACTTCAGTGAAAAAAAAAAAAAGAAAAAGATGATTATTTTTTTTTCTCTTATATGAATTGTATCCGACAAATATAGATAGAATATATTACTACAAGGAAAAAAAAAAAAGAAACGGAAAATAATGATGATGATGATTTTTTTACAACAAAAGAAATCGACATTGATGAAAGAGAAAAGAATTTGATGAATTGTCTACCGGTGTGTGGTGGAGTTTCTTTCTTCAATTATCTGTTTCTCTCTTTTAACAATAGTTTCATGGCATCGAACAATTAAAGAAAAATCATCTCGGAAGATGTCATCGACGTCTCAGAAGTAGTCAAAGGTAAATAATATATTTCTTCCCAAATAATTATTTTTCAAATAGAACAAATTGGAATCCATCAGGGCAAAAGAGGGAGGAAATAGCATAGCGCGATAAAAAAAAGGAGATGTTGAGAATTTATATGTTAAAATAGAAATGTTTTCTATCTCTCTCTTTCTCGTTTACTTTTCAAATGACTATAGTATATATAGACATTTTCTTTTTTATTTCTTCTGCTATATTAATTTAAACAAATAATTTAAAACAGTCATTTTCTATTATTATTACCTTAATTTATTATTTGCTCATAGAAAAAAAACATAGAAAGAGTAAGTATAACATCATCAAAGAGATGAACAAGAAAAACTTCTGGTCGATTAAATCTTTACCGTAAATAGAATAACAAGAAGAAAATGAGTTATATTTATTTAAATGAATGTGTAATTGTACTTTAATGCAAAAAATAAATTTTCTCAGCTATTATCAACATTTCCTAACATTTTTCGAGACATCCCTTTTCAACATCATTAAAAGGTGAATAAATCCCGAATATTTAGACAAATTAATAAGAAATTAATAGTATTAAAGTTACATTTGAAACCAAACTTTTATTTTATCTATCTTCTTTTCATTTCTATTGATAGTAAGGTAGAAAGCAAACTTTTCTGATATATCTCATGTATCCCGTTTGCATTTGAAAAAAACGCTTTTAAACGCGTTCGTTTGCATTTAAATCTACGTTTAAATATATTTCGTAAAAATCTGCATTTATGTGTGACGAGCGTTCGTACGTTTTTTTCAAGTGTTTGATTATTAAACGGGTTTAAACGTCGAAGATATTTAATACCTCGAACGCGTTCGAATTGTTGAACGCGTTTGAAGACGTTCTGATTTAAACAGACAGTTGAATGCGGTTTTGAAAAAAGGTTTGAACATCGTTCGAAACCATTTATATTACGGAACAGCTCGACTCACTTCAAATGTTTAATAGTCTAAAGTTGTTTGAGGATTTGATTGATAATTCACTGTTGTACACTAGCATTCTATGCTCTTCTATACATACGACTAAAAAACAGAAACAAAAAAATTGATATTTCATTAAAGATGTAGATGTTTGTTTATTTGTTTATTCTCCGTGTCAAACAACCTCACATAGCATACAATATGACAGAAAGATACATTGACCTTCGTCAAGCACCCAATAGCTCAATGGTACGTATTTCGCTCTCTGTTCTTTAGATATCATGTTCGACTCCATCTTTTCGTAAATGATAATTGTTCTGTTACTTCCGGAGAGAAGGATAAGAGATGTCTTGAAGGGGATGAACTAGGGCAGTGACAGTTATCGTTACCACCGTTACTCGATAACGGTAACTGCTGAAAAGTTACCGTTCCTGGTAACGGTAACTGNGGCTACGAACCCTCACCCCCATCTCACCCTTACCCTGGGTACCTAGATATATTCAGAGATTTGACACTTGAAAGATATACTGAACAGTTACCGTTACTTAAACGGTAACTGCTTATCCATTACCGTTACTAGGAACGGTAACCGATCAACGGTTACAGTTACTGTAAAGATAATGGTAACTAAAATAGACTTACATCGGACGAACTACACATAATAACTATAATGGCACAGAACCTTCGGTTTGATTTTTTGGGGGAAATTTTGATAAATGCGTTTAAACGTTTCAAATATTTCATTTCTAGATCGTTTTTAAGCTTTTGCCGATCAACAAAATGCGTTTGAACGCTATTGACCAGATAAAGATGTTTGTGTATAAGTGAAAAAAAACGCGTTTGAATCCCGCAAATGTTTCATTTATAAGCCGTTTAAACGTGTTTGACTTGCATTTATGAACGCCATTTGTAAATACGTTTTGTTTTAGATTAGAAATTGTTACATGGGTAGGAAGAGATAATTCGTTCTTTCAGTTCTCTGAATAGGGCAAATTCATGCAATATTAGAATGTTATCAATCTATAATAATATTTCATTGCAGTTTGATTATAAACCATTTGAGCGTATATATTTATGTGAGATTAACATTTTTCATTGTCATCAAGTAGTAATTAGAGGTTTATTGTCGTTTTTGATGTGAGAAAAAAAAAATCGGAAAAAGAGACAAAATTACTTTTTGCTCAAGGTATGTAAGGAAAGAAATAGAGAAAATTTTTGACGATCTGTCTATATTCGATATAGAGTAAGTATATTTTATAGCATAACATTTTTAGTGAAAATAGATTGAGTGTACTGTAACAAGTATGCGTGTCAAAAATCATTATGAAAGCTTTTTCAGGATATCTTTACGAATTTTGATTCAATTAGGAAACTTGAACAAAGAAAAAAAAATTATGTTCGACATTCAATGACACATCTATTATTCTTGAGGTTGAATAGTTGAACCTTAGATTCCTTTTTTTACAATAATAAAATGGGAATATAGGCAGGAAATGCATGGTAATGTATAACTTTGAAATCATCAATCATTAAGAGATTCTCTCTTGTTTTTCTCCATTATTTATGCTGAAATTTTAGAACAATCAAAATCATCGAAAAGATTAGTACTATTTGACAGTTTTAAGAGAAAATCTTTATTTTTATTAAACATGCATAAAAAAGCGATTTTTTTCCTCTTTGTTGGCTTCTTAAGATGATATTTATAAACTATCTATATACTCTTAGCGTGTTATCCGAACTGAAAAAAAGAAAATCCAAGAGACACACACAAAAAAAAAAAAAGAAAGTTTAGAAAGAAGATTTGTTGTCAAAGTTGTTTATAGATGAATGATTTTCTTTTTTTGAACAAAATTTGATTAGAACCGATGACTCTGATTTTTCTTTTTTTTCTCCTTGTCTTGTGTGTTCTTCTTATCCTGTTATACACACATATCGATCCGTTACATGAACACGAAATACGATAGATTCGTAAAAAAAAAAAAGAAAAGAAGATGTTATGATTGAAGAAATCTTTCGACTTCGAATAGTCAAATTAATCATGCAATGTTTGAAATGTTGAAGAGAAAACAAAACGTAATTATAAATATAAAATAAAATTCACTTATATTTATTATTTTCAGATTTTTATTTTAAAATATTATCTATTGATAGTTAAATTTCCATTATAGTTAATTAGTCTATCATCAGTCAATGATCAGATCAAATTTTTTTATAATGTCAAATCTAACATGTATATCAGATTATTACATCATATTTATCAATCGTTAATAATATAGAAATATTTCTTTTTCTTATACAATAATTCTTTCTTTTTCAATGTCTATCAATTGACACTCTGTTCAATAATATTATTTTTATATATTTCTCATTCTATACTCAAGAGTAAAATTCTATCGATATTGTGTACAAATATTAAAAATATAATACAACTATTTTCTATAATAATTAATTTCAAAAAAATAAATAAATAAAATACAGTTTTTAAATAATCAAAAACTGTACGAAAGATTTATTGAAAATTATTGTTTGTTACATTGAAACGATGGTAGAATGATTAAATTTAATATTTCTATTCAATATAATCTAACGAGAGAGCGAGAAATAGAGAGAGTGCGCATCATATCTTCTTCTTCTTCTTTTTTCTCGGTGATTTGAATAAAAGGCAAACATGCGTAATATAATCGACATGAAAGAAATGAAGAAGAACAAAACGCATACAATCACTTCGTAGGATATATGTTATGTAGTTTCTTCTTTTTCTTTTTTTTCTATCTTCTGGTTTTGAATTATACAAGTATAATAAAATGAACAATTAAAAATGTGTTTTTGTCATTAAATTAGTAACAAGAGTAGAGAAAGAACAAGAAATCGGAAAATGAGAAAAAAGGAAAAATATTAGAACATTTTTGAATTTTATACTATTTGTATGACATTGATAGTTTTCTCTCTCTTCGTCTCTACATATATATATATATATTTCCATACTTTTCTAAAGGAAAACTTTTTTTTTCTCAATAGAAACTGAAAGGATAATTTGTACTGATCAAACCAAAACACATAGACTATGAGAAGAAAAAAAATCGAATGTTTTATTAGTATTATCAATATGTAACATTGAGATTTCTCTCTCTCTCTCTCTCTCTCTCTCTCTCTTTTCTTAGTTCATTCGACAAGATTGAATTTTTTTTAGAAAACATTACTACTGCCGAGTTGTCTTCGATACATGTCCACAAAAAAAAAAAGAAGGGAATATGAGTGCGAATAGATTAGAAGAAGAAAAAAAAAATAAATAAATAAGAAGAATTCACTGTCTGTTATAAGTGTTTTAACTAATTTAACTATTTAGTTTTACCTAATTTACTTTTTGTCATTTGTTTTAGTTCACATTATAAATATCATAATGTAAATGATTATATTCAGTTGATTTATTATCAACTATTTCATTTATCTATCATTTTTGTTTAAACGACAAAAAATAAATAAATAAACGCGAAAAACGAAATAAAAACAAAAAAAACTAGTGATTAATCATATCAACCCATATCGATGACGAACGTCAACAATTACGTTCTAAAACGAACGTCGTTTATTTTCAAACGATTATGTACGACTATGTCGATATTATACAAAAATTAATTTTTCAATTCATATTTCATTGTCCAATTCATCGTATTAAATTTAATTCTCTTTTTTTCTACATTTTCATAATGTGTTTATTCACAACAATTTCCTCTACATCATCACCTTCACTAATTGAATCATTTAAATTTCATCGTCAAATACGTTCATCACATCCATATTATCGTTATAAATTACGTATTATTTATTTTCGAGCATATGATATTAATATTACTGAAACATCATTAAAAACAAATGTATTAAATTTAACTGAGACAAATTTAATTGATCTATCCGTTGTTATATATAATCAGTCAACATCATTATTATCTTTAAAATTATGTTCATTATTAAAAGATCAACAATTAAATAATAGACGTGATACAATTATTATTGCTGATTTTTATACGAAAGAAATTGAATTATTATCGAGAACACTTGAGATACCCACCGTTGTTATTAACAATAGATATGCAATTGTACATGGAAAAGAGGTATGTAAAATTCTAAATAGGTTGTTATATAATAAAATTAAAAAATATAAATGATACTATTTTATTTTTTATTTAGAAAAATCCATATTTATTTAAATTAATGCCTGATGCAACTGAAGAAGCAAAATCAGTAGCCAGAACACTTGAAACACGTAGTGTTTATACTAGAATAGGTAAATATTTATATTTATTTTAATGTCATAATTATTTATATTGATTAAATTTTCTATTTTTAGCTTTAATTTATGAAATATCATCGGATATGAATGAATATCGTTTACAATATTTGACAATGGCTAAACAACATATTATTTATAAAGCACAATTACCAAAAATTTCATTATGGCAAGAAGTAAAACGTTCATATATACGAAAAATATTTTATGATTTATCTCAATTAGATGTTGATTTAATATTTTGTATTATGTCTACAGATCGTGAAATACAATTTTTAAGATTAGCAAAAGAAATTCAATCACCATTATTAAATCGAACATCATGGTGGTTTTCTACACGTCTCGGTGATTCACCTATTATTCGATATTATCATCCAAAAGTATTTACAGCAAGTGAAGATCGACGACGAACATTAACATCATTTTCAAGTTCAGCACTTAAAATTTTATTTAATGCTATTATTCGAACTTATATGAGATTAGATTCATCACATGATAGTTATATGGGTGCATTAAAATGTGATGATACGAGAAATACACTTGCACAAATAAATCGAACAAAAAATTTTATTAAGTATGAAAATAGAGTCATAAGATTATTTTCTTTCTTTGAAAAATTCATTATAATTTTTAAATGGTAGTTAAAATATTGACATAGATTACCTAGAGTATTAGAGGATAGCGATAAAAAACTATGTTCTAACTTTAAAATTCATCACTAATATTTTTTATTTTATTTAAGGTACTTTTCCGAATATACTACATGGAGTTGTGACATACGTATTGCTTCAGGAGTAGATCCATTAATATTTAATGAACGAACATTGGCATGGCGTATTCCGACAATTTTTATGGTAAATTTAACACTTTTATATATTTTAAAAAGCATTGTCTATTGTCTATGTTTTAGATTCATCAAGAATATTCTTGTCAAGGTATGGATTTTTCAACATATAGAACTGTATCTATGTCATTTTGTTTCAACTGTTTAGGAATGATAACATGGACATTTTGGACAAACAATCAAAATCCTGCCAAAGTATTTTCTTGTCCGCCAAGTTCATCTACAATAACAAATAAAATGACACTTGATTTAACACCATTTCATCAAGCATTTGGCAAAACATTTCCAGATCCAACTATCGATTGCAAATATGTGCGTATCAATGCGATGTTGACACATCCAACAATTGTAGGCGTCGTTGAACCACCCTATCTATTCGTTAGTGAAACTGAAATTAGTAGTGAATTTCATTGTAATTATGGTGTACCATGTTATCAAATTGATCCACCGATAAACAATACACCCATAGATATGCTCTATTTTCAGTCAAATATGACAAAACCACCACGATGTTGTTATGGAATTAGTGTAAATTTATTATTGAGAATGGCAGATTCAACAATTGGTTTAAAAACCATACGTCTATTTGTATTTTCCGATGTACCAGGAAAATGGTTAGCACTAATTGAATCATTAGAAAATCGTCGTGCTCATCTATCAATATCACCTATACCTTATGAATATTATTTCAAACGAAATATTGATTTAACTTATCCATTTTATCATAGTTCATATGTTATTCTTACTGCACGTCAACCATCTGATCCATCATTAGGCGCTTTTTTACAACCGTTTAGTTGGGACACATGGTTGGTCATATTCATAATTTTAAATGCAACTGCACTATTTGAAACATTTTTTGAATGGCATAGTCCATATGGGTAAGTTATTCAAAATATTTCTGACGCAAAAAACATCAAATATTCACAGTATTTTCTTATTCAATTCAAAGTTTGACTATAAACTATTAAATTTGATAGTTTTCTTAACGTTTACTTGACACCAGTTGACTATTTGTTATTATTGTATATTGATTTTCTTTTTAATAGTATAACAATTGACTTATTTACTCTTAAAATACATTAAAAAATGCGATTTGTCAACATTCTCAATTAGAAGATTATTGATTCGATGCATAATTTCTACTTTGACAAGTTTATCTAAAATTCACATCCTTAATAATTTATATTAAAAAAAAATATTTATGAGATCAGTTAAATAAATAGAAATGATTAAATATGTCAATGTTAAAGATTAATTTCTAACTAAATATTCATCATAAATTCATAATAAGAATTTCAGTTATCATTACTTACTATTGATAATTTATCAAATTTTTTCTCTTCAACAATTGTCAAATATTGATAAAAAAATTTTCTTATCATTTGATGATGCTGTTATTTCGTCTTTCAAATAATTTTAAAGATAATAACTATCTACGATAATTATACTAGTGTTGTATTCTATCTCTAAATTATTAATACTACACTGATCAAGTTTACATAAGATAAATAGTATAATTTTATACGTTTAATTTTGTTTCAATGATCTTTTTTCTTCTTCTTCTTCTTCTTCACAACATGTTCGTGGTAGAATTTATTATAAATTGTGTTATCATTCCATTAATCTAGATAATACTAGGAGCCAATTTATTGATCCGTGATAGGATATTTGTAAAATAGATGTTTACTTTAGGTCAAAAGTTTCTCGAAATATTATTAAATTGATTAAAATACTGATCTTCCATAAGCATAAAGTTTTGTTGTTATTCATTGTAATTACAACTAGACTACATTTATTATGATCAAATTTTTCTATAAAGTTTTCTCACAAACAATTTACAAATCAAAGAATTTTCTTTCGTGTTCTACTGTTAATCATGATGATTAAACAATTATTATTGTCATCTTCGTTACCGGATATAGCGAAAATATTTGTACTAACGGGCATTTTTTTTTTTTTCGTAAAAAAATTAATGAGATGCTTTTCATAAAAGAAGATAATAAATCACGTCCTTTTTTTTCCCTCATTACGGTTGAATAGCAGAAATATGATATCTTTATTTCAGTAGAATCACATGTCAGTTTGGCTTGTCTATGTCTCACTTCTTTTTTTAAAAGTCATACTCTATACTTCTAACTTCTTTTCCTCTCCTCTAAAAAAGTGTGTATAAGTGTTAAAACATCTTTGCATTAACCATCAAACACCTCAACTTAACAATCTATCTTTACATGTAATAATATTGCTTTTATGTTTCTTCACATTGAAATCTTCTATTATAATAATGTTCTAATAAAATGACAAGCCTATGTATCTTATATTTAACCACATGAACATAACTATTAATATCCTTCGTAAAAAATTAATAATTATTCACTCACTATTACTTCTTTATTATTATCATCCAAATAGTTTGGATAGTTTGTTTATTAAATTCTAGACAATGAGTAAATATATTTTTTACAACTTAAATTTTAATATAAATTATTCATATCACTTTGATCAACAGCGTCCAATTATTTTTAAGATTATAAATCGTTTTTCAAACATTATAATAGTATATTTTGTTAAGAGTACTCTTCATCGTCTTTTAACTTTGACCGAATGTTCAATGGTTACTTCTCTCCTATCGGTTAATAAGAGAAAATGATATTTTCTTGAGTTAAGAACAACATTGTCAATAAGTTTATCTATTGCAATTTTCTAGTAATTTTTCGTTTATTATTTAAACGATGAATAATTTACTTTTTGATATACCTTGAAGTAAAATAAATGACAAACTACTATAAAGAGAAAAGGATGCTAAAATAGTTAGATTGTATTCTGATACTGAACTGATAATAAATTAACGTTGAAAAAAAATGACAAAATAAAATGTAAAATAATACAATTAAATTAGTTATTATTACAACAAAGATATAGCCATGAGAAAATTTAAAAAAAACAAAAACATTTTTTTATATAATTCTAGTCAATAAAACATACTTTCATCTCTTTGGCTCTCGAAACGTATGGTTGTAAATTGTAGTTTGATTTATTCATTCCATTTTTGAACATTTTCCAAGCCAACTTATGTCAAAACATTTAATGTATTTTTCCTTTTTTTATAGTTTAACTCCGAAGGGACGACGACGACAAAAAGTATTTAGTTTAGCATCAGCGTTAACGTTGAGTTGGTCAATTATTTTCTCACATACATTCAAAACAAAATCACCGAAATGTTGGTCAAATCGATTTTTAGGAAATGTAAAAAATGTTCCACTACAATTCTTATACTACACTATAGTTAGCATTTTTTTTCTTTCAGGTTTGGGGCGGTTTTGGTATTGTATTTATTGCCATTTATACTGCTAAACTGGCTGCATTTATGGTCGAATTAGGTGATGTACAACTAGCAAGCGATGTTCAAGGAATTATAGTAAGAACAATGAGAGACGAATAGACTATGTATAACTAAGACTATGTATTCTAAAAGATGAGTTACAAATATTTTTTCTTTGATTATATGAAAAAAATCTTTCGATCCTCTTTGCCTCTCTGTTTATGATTTTTTGCTTGGTAATGATGATTTTATATTACTAGGATACTTGCCGTAAATTACATAGTTGTACTCTGGGTGTTGTTGCCAATACAAGTGATGAAGAATATTTGAAAAAATATTATTCTACCTCTTTATATCAAAATGTTCACTATGTTAAAAATTATTCAGTTGGTATCGATTCATTAAAGTAAGTGTCTGTGCTACAACGTATCATTACTACTATTTCATTTTGTTTGACAATATATAGAAATAAAACAATAACATTCATGTTGATGGATCATTCAATTGCTCGTTATTATACAACACGAGATGTACTTAAATCAATTCGAATTAGTGGAGATAACTTTGGTGCATTTGGTGTATCATTAGGCTTTTCAAAATATGATGTTGAATTAAAAAATAATATAACCAATATACTATTGAGTTATATGGATAAAGGTAAGACAAATAATAGTTTTTATTCATATAAATGATTATAGTCAATTTCATTATAGGAATTATACAACGTTTACATGACGAGTGGTATGGTTATGAAAATTGTGAATTCAAAAGATTTTCCAAGGTGAGTTAACATTGAATGTGATATTATGCTTATCAGAGTTCAATTTTATTTTCTTTCAGAATCGTAAATTAATTCTTGAACGTTTTGTCGGTGTATTTATTTTATTGGGTGGCGGAGTATTAATTGGTTTATTAACGTTACTTTTGGAATGGTTTACATTCAAATATTTTGTGCCATATTGTAGAGAAAAAGAATGGCGTGGATGGATGTTTTGTAGTCAAGTAAACTATAACACTTTTAACATGTTCAAATCAATATATATATAAAATGTTTTCTTCATATTTTAGCGATTATATGCAGCATTAAATGTTTCAGATGATGTGTTTGCAGAAGCATATTATGATTCTAAAAGTCATTCGTTTAAAGAAGTTGGAGAACGGTAAAAGTAGTATTGTGATGTGGAAAAAAGATTTCAGCTCCCAAGATGTACTTAACGATTATTAAAAAAATTTCCCCGTCTTTTTTGTTCTTATTTTAGTTTACATAATTACTCTGCACGAAGTGATAGTTTAGATTTGCGTGTTGTTGATGTTCCCAAATTGTTAAGTACAACATATCGTTTAAAACAAGAAATTGATAATATTAAACAGACAATTCACTCAACACGCTGTAATACGTTTAACGAACAAGATGAATCATCACAACTACAATTTGTTGAAGAAATTCCCTTACTTGAACGACCAAATGAATCTTTAGGACGAACAACTACTCTACCATTATCAAATAAATCTTATTTAAATAAATCCTTTTCGGAAACTCAGGGAGAAGAAACAACATCAATAGCAGTAAATACTGATAATATATCAGTTACAGTTGATCAGAGAATACAAACACTCGAAAAAGAATTGGAACAATTAAGATTACAACTAATAGGTGTAGCAAATGAAAAAGAGCAATTACAGAAAGAACTAAATAATGCATTATCGAATAAATCCTCTTAAAATAATTTCTTTCTTTCCTGTATTCGTATTGTTTCTTTTTTAACCGCTTGGTGCTATATAAAGAAACAGATTTTTTTTTGTATATTTTTGTACAACTTGTGTGGTTACTGTGTGTGTGTGTGTATGTGTACAATAGATTATTTTTCACTTTTCATCTTACTGGTCAACAATATAAATCAATAAAAAATAAAACATCGTACAATTAAATAAGTTTTGATTATTATTACACGTATCACATATATTGATGATCAGTCATTTAATTACAGTTGGTTCAATACTATTTAGTAAACCATAATAATATAGCTGAAGTGTTTTCTGTTTGGTGTACACATTTATTACTTTTTTATTTCTAATGAAAGTTTACAAATACCACAAGAAGAAAATCTGAAGTAGATCTCTAAATTTAGAGATTAGATAGATAAATAATGAATAGATTGCCATTTTATGTAATAAAATTATTCTACTTTTACACCCTTCCAAAATGCAACATAACCTTTTATGTTGCTTGCCGCTGATTTCGGTTCTCTGTAAATCCATGCCGCATTCTCATTTTGTTTACCATTAACGTCAAGTGTGTAGTAATTACATTCACCTTTCCATCCACAATGTGAAGTATGGTTTGACTCTTTGAAATACTCTTTTTTGATTGAATCAGGTGGAAAATATTTATTGCCTTCGACTGTTTCAGCCTTGTCAGTTTCGGCAATTATCACATCATTCCAAGTAGCTTTTGCTGTGGTCATTTTTCTGATTAAATTTATTTGTCTGTAGTGATGTTAAATGAATTTAACGTTCTTTGACAATGTATGTAGTTGTGAATAGCAAAATGTCAGATTCATATCAGAGTGAGTGAGAGAATGAAAATACTATTTTTATTATTTCTTTCTACAAATAGCGTCAACGGGGAAATGAAATAGAGAAAACAAAGACTGACACTTGTATGACGAGATAATGTGATCTGTCGAGGTACATTATATCGACTATCCGATAGAAAACGGCACAGAAGTATACTTAGAGAACTGATGCTACATACCTCTGAACGTCATAGTGTATACTGCAACAACAAATTCTATTGTTCGCTAAGCATAAGATTACAGTCTATGATTTCATTACCATGAGGCGACATCTGCAGATGAATATCGGAGTAGCCAAAGCAGATAATTGCTAGCTATGTAGTAATTTTATGTTACAAAACATCAATTTTTGCACATGTTGCTTGAATACGTTATTTTATTTTATTTTGTGTTCGATGAATTTTAGATGGCCGATTTTAGCCAATAATTGTTATTCAGAAACGATTAAGCGAACGAGTGAGACTTCCATCTATTTGGACATTCAAACGGTTATATTGAAAAACTGTTACTGATACGTATCATTTCATCAATATTCTTAAGTTCATGAACTCAAGCACTGATTCAAGTCAACGTTTAGTTCAGTTTGTTACAATGGGTCGTTTTTCACCATTGATTGGAGATCTCTTTAGCCAACGCTTAACTTAAAATCATATTCCATGGAGTCAAGATAACATAAAGTTAGATCCAAAGGAAGACTCAAGTTGATGCCTAAAATTTTTGATAAAACATCAAGAATTAAATCAACCTTTGATGAAGATTAAGCGACGATTCCAGTGGTCACCTCAGTTTGAGAGCTACTTACGGATATTGATGAAACGATCTCAATATTGGATAAGCTATTCCTAAGACGAAAACTAATTTCATGTAAAGTGAGAGTCGTTAAAATTGTAATTACAATGGACTCAAGCTGAACTACAAAAACTAAACAAAAAAAACGATTTTTTGAATAACGGTAAAGATGAAAAACAAATAACTGTTCCAGAAGGTTATTCCAGTCAGTGACAGTAGAATAAACAGAAATAAGAAATGGTTAGTGGTAGTGGCGTAGCCAAGGGAGGGATCTAGGAGGCACAGGCCCCTCTCTTAGAAAGTTAACTTGTACTGGAAAGAATAGAATAAAATATCAGCTATCAGCGACATGTGTTTGTTTAGTCTTCTTTTACTCTAATCCTTCCTAAAAAAATGTTGGGTCCTTCCTTTAAAAAAATCCTGGCTACTTCACTGGCTTGTGGAGAAAAACCATAAAATATGGTTATGAGCTTCAGTCATCCTTCTGTTTTATTTTTGGGTTATCGGTCCACGGTCATCAAATTACTGACTCTCTAGTTTCTTTACAATAATGATGCACTAATAATTTTCTTCAGCTTTTTTATACTTGAATAACCTGATCTTTTTCCTCGTTCACATACATATTTAGACCTCGTTATATCCCAGCGATTTCAATCTTATGTCTTGTGAGAACGATCGATTCGTTAAACTAGTTTAAATAACTCGGTTTATCACTTCTCTATACTTAACAGTCATTAAGATAATCTAGGAATCGTCCACACATTGTTCATTGCGTATTCATATGCAAAAAGAAGTACACAATCTACTTGGACGACATATTCTTTGGTCAATTTTGTTAACTGTATAAAGAATGAGATCTACTAGAGAAGTTAGAATCGCTTTTGATTTCTCAAAACGTATTTTATTTATGCTGGAAACTTTCTATCAAAACTTAGAGGCCGATAAAGAAAGAATCTGATCAGCAACTCCTTAGCGAAGAGATATTATTTTCGAATTCAAGCAGTAAAAAAGAGTTTTTGCTAAAATTGCTAGCCTTTACAAGAATTCGGAAACTTTTATTTTTTACTGAATATATAATTTCTACACAATGAAAGCGATCTGTTTCCACTTTAATATTGTGTGTCTTTTTAACTTCTAGAATTAAGACGATGGGAACTATTGATGGTCTGGAAGCTCAAATAATTAATTCTCAAGGGATCATTTCACGTTTAAATGGTGAATTAGATCAATCTCTATTACGTATAACCACTTTGGAGCAGTTAAATCAACAGCTCACTGACGAAGTATACGAGAAACGTTCACAAATATCCAAATTACACGATGAATTAGATGTAAGAGACCAATATTTAGAAGATTATGATCAAAAGCACCAGACACTTTTAACGGAAAAAGATGAGCGGATATCAGCGTTAGAAAAATTAGTTTTACTATTAAAAACACACATAAAAAACGCTAAAAACGTCTTTGAACAAACTCAGTTAATCGACGGTGAATTAATATCATCAAATGGAGGCGACAGCCTTTATGCTAGTTCAATTACCTCAGCTGCTTCCTCGGATGTGGGAGACGCAACACTAAAACAACAACAACAAAGTATACAAGATGATGACGAAACACAAACAGAAGAAAAAGATATTTATTGTGAAAATTGTGAAAATTATGAAATATTTAAACAGCAAATTTTTCTAATTTTAAATGATATCGGTAATTGATCTACCTTTTTAAAAAAAAAATAAGAACATACATACTTTTCTGCGAATGTTGTTTTCGTTATGTAAGTCAATAATTTACTAATGATTCATCTACTTTTTTTTAGACGATTCAGTTCATATTGATAACAAATTAATAACAAACGATTCTCTTCTTGCTCGTCTAAATTCCGTACTTGATGAACATCGTTTCAATCGTGAATTGAAAGAACTTTTATTAAAAACTGTCAATGATAATGTTGATTATACAACACCATCGTCAATTGTATATTCTATTCATGAAAGTGAAAAGAAAAAGTTAAACCAGTTTCATTCGTTGATTAAACAAGCCTATCATGGAAACGTAGATTTGACAAAAATTGATTTCAAAGAACAATATTCAACTGATGAAAATGACTTTTATGAAATTTTGGCTAACATAAATAAGTTAACACATTTAAAAGAAGCATTAGCATTAGATAATCAACAATTAAATCATATTCAAACATTATTCAAAATCGAAAATGACACTGAACTTCTCATACCGACTATTGAACATTTTCTAAAAGAATATGATGAGAAAGTAGCCATTTTTAACTATATGAAAACAAACGTGTCACTTGATAATAAAACTTTATCCGATTTAGATTTAGCTAAATATTTAGTGAAACAATATTCTCAATATCAGCAACAAAATGCACAAATTTTAACATTTTTTCAAAATGAAGACCAACATGAAGATCATCTTGTTGAACAATTGATGGAAAAATATTCGAATTTATCAAAAGAAAATGATCGATTAAGTAGACAAATTGAACAAATTGAAAATGAGATTAAATTGAATAATGTAGGTTGATATAGACCTTCTCGAAATGAATTTATTACTAACATGTGAGAAGCATACTACTCAACGACTTTTAGTTACTATCTAATTGAGTATAATATTTGCTTTCCTTCCATATAATGATATGTAAATATTTCATTTGTTTTTATTAAGACTACCAACGTGAATGAACAAGATAAATTACTGTTAAAACATCAAGAATTTACTGATTTCTTGAGATCTCTCCAACAGATAGTAAACGGAGATGAATATGATATTAATAATAACAACGATGATGATCTTACAAAGCAAATAATAATCGAAAAAATGTCGGCTATCTTGAAAAAACATGATGAATTAACGGAAAAAATGCAAGAAAATGAATTATGTGTGCAAAAATATGTCCAAGTGCAGACACATCTAACCGATGAAAATGATCGATTGAAGAAGGAGATTGTTCAGATCGAAAATGATCTAAAAGCGGTTAAGGTAAATTCGATATGTAATAAAAATGGACTGCACTTTTCATTCCAAGACTATGACTATAGAATAGTTTCTAAATAAAGGCTAACTAAATAGAAAAACTTCTATTTAGATTTCAAGTTCATCCGAAATAGATAGATTGCATATGCGAGAACAACAGTTGGATGAGTTTTTAAATTCTTTACAGCAACAACTTGGAGTAAGCGAAGATATAAATCAAAATCATGAACAACAACAGCAACAAGCACAAGAAATTTTATTGAAAGAACTAATGATAGCAGTTGAGAATAGTGTGAATAAAAATACTGATTTAAATGAGAAAATCATTGCCAATGAACAAATTACCGAGCGCTTTGATCAACT